CTCTCTCTCTCTCTCTCTCTCTCTCTCTCTCTCTCTCTCTCTCTCTCTCTCCCTCTCTCTCTCGTGCTCTCTTTACTTATTGATACTTATTCTCCATCTTATCTCTGACTTTGCTATCTCATCTCTCCCTCTCTCTCTTTCTCCATTTCTGGGGTAGAACCAATTACTTTCTATTCATTCCCTGAAGTGCTACTAACTCAAGGTTACTGCAAGAAAGAGCTGTACCCCAGATAATAGAAAATGAATTCTATACAACGTGGTGAGGCTGCATGTCAGAAAGCGTTCCTGGAAGTTATTAGTCAATCTAATTGACCAAGGGATTTCCCACTGACTCTGTTCTTTCTTAAGCTTCTGATTTTCCAAGTTGTTTGGGCTACAGGAAGCTGCAGAGTCTTCTTATTGATTTTTTCCCTTTTCCCTGGCTTCCTTTCTGGCTCTGCCTAGATCTGAGGGATAGTTCCCAGATACCTACTAATTTATAGCATGGAGCGATTTAAGCCTTGTTTTATATTATTTCTTTTCAAGAGTAATTCAAGAACATAACCCAGTATAACAAACCAACCAACAAACAAACAAAAAACCCACACCAGATCTGTTTTATTTCCCATAACGAATTCTTCAATCCCTGAGTTTCATTTCTAAGACGCAAGCCTGGAATTTCAAATCAGTGAGCATCCTCATCAAAACCCACCAAAACCATCCTCATCAAAAGGGTGATCAAGTTAAACAAACTCTTCACAATGGTGTGGTGGGACTCAGGGTGTATATGTTACTTTCCTTGAGGTGCAACAAAATACCCAAACAAAGCAACTTGAGGAGGCTGGGCTTATTGTGGCTCACAGTTTGAGGATGCATCCACCGTGGCAGGGAGTCATGGGGGCAGGTACTTGAAGGGACTGGTCACATTGTGTCCAATCAAAAAACAGAGAGAGGATGCTGCAGCTCAGCTTGCCTTCTTTGGACTTAGTCTGAGACTCCAGCTTGTAAAATGATACCACCTACGTTTAGGGTGGTATCACCTCCATTAAGCTAATCAGACTCATTTCCATGGTGATTCTAAATCCTGCTGAGCTGGTAATCAAGATCAACCATCACACAGTACAAGACAAACTGTTGCCTCTAACCATTCCAAAAGAGCAAGAGGGAGTACTCCAAGCAAGAACAAGACTTGTACAAATGATGCTTGCTGAAACGGTGAGAGGCCTCCAGTCAGTCTAAAGCAAAGTGGCATCTGGGAGCTGGGGGTGGGGTGAAAACTCTCTGCTCTCCCACCTTTACCTTGTCTTCATTTCCTGAGCTAGAAGACAGACAGCAAAGGAGACCTTCAGAATATCTCAGATTTCAGCTTCCCCTATCCCTCAGGAGAGACAAATCGGGGTTCTGGGAGGATCACTTGGCTCAGAAACACTGGAGAAAATAGTTTACTTTGTAGATTCCTCTGAGAAGTTCCCAACTGTGAGAAATGTCATTCTCAATGAGAATGACAGATGGGTTTCTGGGAACGTGACTTGACACACAGTTGGACTAGTTTGTAGAGAATTGATTCTCTGTTTTCTTAAGTAAATCTGTTTCTTCTATTTTCAATAAATCTCTCAGAGGTGTGTTTACAAATTTTCACTTTTAAAAGAAAATGTCCAGAGCTGTGGCTATGGTAGAGATGGCAGAAACGTGCCTAACATGCATGCAGCTTTAGGTTCAATCCCAGCACTACAAGAGAAAAAAACGAGAAGAAAAAATTTAGATTATTTGTCATTGTTTTGTCTTAATCAATGTGCTCTCCCTCCTTCTCTCCCTCTCTTCCTCCCTCCCTCCCTCCCTCTCTCTCTCTCTCTCTCTCTCTCTCTCTCTCTCTCTCTCTCTCTCTCTCTTTCTCTCTCTGAGACAGAAATCCATATGTTCAAAGTTTCTCAGTTGTTCTTGCAGTCCTTTGTGCTGTTTTTAAAACATCTAGGCTACAGTATGGTTTGCATTACATTTGGTTATCATATACTAGTTTCCTTTAATCTAAACTAATAGTTTTGCCTTTTATGACACCCTTTCATTTGAAGAGTATGCGCCATTTGTTTCATATAATGTCCTTCCAACGAATTCGTTCAATTGCTTCCTTATAGTTCAGTTCAGATCATACATTCTCAGAAGGTGTTTTAGTTTGTCTTCTGTCGCTGTAACTAAACACTGACCAAAAAGAACTGGAGGGGGAGGAAAGGGTTTATCTGTCTTACACTTCCATGTCATATCCCATCATTGACGGAAGGATCTCACCAGGATCCTGAAGGCAGGCACTGGAGAGAAGCCGTGAAGGAACATTGCTTATTGCCTTACTCTCTATAGCTCTCCTAGCCTGCTTTCTTATATAACTCAGGCTCACTTAACCAGGAATGGAATCACTCACAGTAGGCTGGACCCTTCAATGTCAACAATTAATCAATAAAATGCCCCACAGAGCAATATGATGCAGGCAGTTCCTCAACTGACTTTTCTTCTTTGGAGGTAACTCTTTTGTGTCAAACTGACAAAAACCAACCACCATGCAGTCATGTGACTTAAGAAGGACTCTGATATTTAATAGACCTCACTTGCATTTGTGAGCGACTGCCAACAGCTCAAATTGTGGCCAGCTCTCATGCTTTTAAAATTTATACTACAAAGGCCATCATTAAATTTTCAGCACTAGCAGATGCATATCCAAGATATTCCATATGCTGTCTCATTAAGTTTCATAACAATATAGTAGTTACTGTTATTGCAGCTTCAAAAATGAGGAGACTGGAGCTAAGATAATTTTACAACCAACCAACAGCAGAGACAAGGGTGAACTCCCAAATCCACAGCAGAGTCAAGCAAACCAAAAGTCCAACCTTGAGGCAGGGCTAGAAGGAGAAAGAAGCTGCAGAGGTCAGGCAGGGCTCCTTTGCTGATCACCAGTGCACTTGGAATATGATGAGGTGGGGCAGGCAAACTCACTAAGAATAGTCCAGGAGGATGGGTGCCATCCAGGTGCTTCATGGGAGTATCTCACAAAACACTCCCCAATTATGAGCTAGGGCTAGCTTTGCTTTGATTTTAGAAGATCAATGGGCCAACCATTAGAAGGATGGGTGAGCCAATAGAATAACCAATGGAATCAACAGCCACATAAAAGAAATCAGACATTTGATTATGGAATAGAGATCATAATGATTAACATGGGGTAGATATGTTCAGGAATGATATCAGACAGAACATGGAATGAAGGGAGAATTGACCAAGAACACCATGGCCTTAAGCTTTCTGCATCCATGCTTGGTTTGGAACCAGAGGTGTAGATAATTGGAGCTGGGAGGACTGCAGGTGTTAGATAACTAAAGCTGCAACCTTTGCAGTTTGCAACAGACCTGTGGGCACCTCGGCTCTCCAGCAGGGCACAGATGGCCACACTGAATTCTGGGCCTGGTTTTTAGGATGGAAACGGACAATTAAGACTATAACCTCTGGGCTGAGCCTCAGTAGTCACCAGAAGAAGAATTGCTCTGACTTTATGGATTCCTTCCAACCTCCAGTAATTATGAGGTTGCATGGTCTAGTCTATAAACATTTGTATTGAATATAATTTTATTATGTCATATGATTCTCCCTGCCACAGTTCATCGGCAAGTAAGAAGGAAAGTGGTACTGCTCCTGTGTGTCTTGCATTCCAGTGAAAATGGAAAATAATGACTATGCGCAAAGCTCAAGTTTTGTTATAAAGACAGTAATAGGAATAGAAATGAGAACTTGTGTATGCTGGGGGGACCTTCAAGTTGTGTGCGGGGTGTGTGTGTGTGTGTGTGTGTGTGTGTGTGTGTGTGTGTACAAGCGCCATCATGCCATGTGGAGATCAGAGGACAACTGGTGTGAGTCCATTCTCTCCTTCTACCACATAGGGCTCAGGAATCTAGCTCAAATCATCAGGCATGATGGAGGCACATGCCTCTACCTGCTAAGCATCTTGGTTGCTTGGAACTTTCATTTTAAATGAGATAGTCACCATAATTCACTTAACTTTGAAGATTACTCTGGTAGTTTGAATGTAATTGGCCCCCATAACCTCAAAGGAAGTGGCACTATTAGGAGGTGTCATTTTGTCATAGTGGGTATGGCCATATGTCACTGTGGGGTGGCCTTTGAGGTTTTCTATGTTCAGGAAACTGCCCAGTGTATCAATTGACTTCCTGTTACCTGCACAGTGTAAGATTCTCAGCCTGCTTCCCTTAGCCAAGAGCATAACTATATGTTTTCTTTCTTGGGTTCACCTTCTTGTTTAGCTTCTTTAGGTTCACCAGGTATACACTCCGTGACCTTTATTTGTGGCTAGAAACCAATTATGTGTGAGCACATCCCATGTTCATCTTTTTGGGTCTGGGTTACCTCGCTCAGGATAGTGTCTTCTATTTCCATCCATTTGCATGCAAAATTCGAGAAGTCATTATTTTTTACCGCAGCATAGTACTCTAATGTGTATATATTCCACACTTTCTTCATCCATTCTTCCATTGAAGGGCATCTAGGTTGTTTCCAGGTTCTGGCTATTACAAACAATGCTGCTATGAACATAGTTGAGGCGAACAATGAGGACTGATGAGAAGCCAAGGTCAATGGCAAGGGGTTCTGACCCTACTTCATGTTCTGGCTTGGTGGGAGCCTAGCCAGTTTGGATGTTCACCTTCCTAGACATGGACGGAGGGGGGAGGACCTTGGACTTTCCACAGGGCAGGGAACCATGACTGCTCTTTGGATTGGAGAGGGAGGGGGAGAGAAGTGGGGGGAGGGGGAGAAGAGCAGGGGGAGGGGGAGAAGAGTGGGGGGAGGGGGAGGGAAATGGGAGGCTGGGAGGAGGCGGAAACTTTTTTTTCCTATTCTCAATAAAAAAAAAATATGAAAAAAAAAAGATTCTCAGCCTGCCTGCTCGCCATGATGATCCCATCACGATAATGGACTGAACCTGGGTCCTCTGCAAGAGCAGCAAATGCTCTTAACCACTAAGCTATCTTTCTTGCCTTTTGACCAATGTCCTTAATGGAGACTAGTCCTCTGGCTTTCTCAGGTAAGAGTTTATAGGAAGGGAGTTTATAGGAAGCCACTGCAAAGGTCCTAAGACAAGAAAGTTCTATAAAGTGACTAGGATCATAGAGGGGAGTGTAGGGAAGTGATGTACTGGAAACTTCTGTGTTAGTGCAGCAAGTGTTGGAGTAGTAAGGCCTTTCTTGGTGGCTTGGGACTGGGGGCTCCACTACACACATGGATCCACACCATTATACCCAGAGTGGGCTGTAAAGTTAGGGTAGGTTTATTGTAAGAGAGACTTCAGTGCCACTCTGGAGCTCTTCTCCTCAGCTGTGAGCCAACACAGCAAGGAGGCCCAGGACAGATATTGCCTCTTGAGCTGGAACTTGCTAATTTGTAGGACTATGAGCCAAAGACATTTCTGCTCATTGTGAGTTACAGTACCAGGCATTTTGTGACTGCAGCAGAATACTGGCTAAGTCACACATAAACTCTCACTATAGAAATGCCCGTTGTGTTAGTTACCTTCTTCTCCGCAGACCCTGTACGACGTTAAACATTGTCACACATCTAATTTCTCACTATCATCAGTAGAACTCTCACTGAAGTGAATGAAAATCTATTTGTGTTCTTGTGTTTCACAAACAACAGCTGAAAAACACGAACAGACTTCACTCTGCTTCCCAGACACCTGCTGTGGGTTCCTTACTTCCCTGAACCAGGCTTTGTAGCTTAACATTTATTACCTTGCAATTCTGGAGGTCTGAAGTTTTAGATGGTAGGACTGGGCTCTTCCTGGAGGCTCTAAGGTAAGCCTGTGTCTGTTATCTGATGCCTCGTGGATCCTTTGACTCTTGGCTTTTTTTTTTTTTACACCAACATGTGTAAAGTTTCGCCTTTTCTCCCTCTTTCTTTCCATGCTTCAGCCACCACTTTGTTACCTGTGTCTGGTGTCCCTGTCTCCCTTTTAGGTGGATGGTGCTCATGATGGTCAGTATTGATTGACAACATGAACCATCTTAGAGCCACCCAGGAGGAGAGTCTCAGTGAGAGATTATCTACATAGGAAACAGCTTAGAGTTACCGAGAAAAAAGCATCTCAGTGAGGGATTATCTACATTAGATTGGGCTGTGGGCATGTCTATGAAAAATTGTCTCAACTAAGGTAAGTGATTTGGTAAGAGCCAGCTCACTGTGGGCAGCCCTACTCCCTAGGCAGAGGGTCCTGAGCTGTGTAAGAGTAGATAAACAAGCTGCATGCAAACCACAAATACATAGGCATGTTGATTTTTCCCTCTTCTTGGCTGTGGGTGTGATGTGGCTAGTCGTTTGGAGTTCCTACCCTGACTTCCCTACGGTGATGAACTCTAACCTGGCACCGAGAGCCAAATCAGCCCTTTCTTCCCTCAGCTGCTTTTTGTCATGGTGTTTTGTCATGGCAACAGAAATGAGACTAAGACAATGGTGAGACATTGGGCCCAGTTAGATCATCTCGGATTCGACTCAAAATGTTGGCTTAATGATGTCTATAAATCCTTCTTTGTTGGTAAGGATACATTTCATTGGTTCTGTGGATTAGACTGTGAATGCCTATGGGGGACCATTATTCAGCCAGCCAGCCTAGGAAGTGAAGGAAGAAAATAAGAAAGTAGAAGCCAAGGGTAGGGGGAGAACAGAAGGAGACA